AAGTCAATGTAATGAGGGAACAGCAGGTCTCAGTGAAAACGAGAGAACCAGAAGCCAGAAAAACCTGGGCTGTAAACTCACTTTGGTGTCTTATAAGCCAGGCAGCCTCAGGCAAACCACTCACCAGAGTTGGTCTCAGTTCACACACCTGAGGCCATTAATACTCAAGGTCATTACTGGCAGGTGTATGTAGCACTGTGTCCTGGGGAGACAGATCTGCAGGCCTTAGAACAGGGAGAACAATTACCACCTGAGCTCCCTCTGCCAAACCTGTGCTGTCCAAAGCTGCTGTCACAATCAAGGGGATCAAAGTGGTCTCGCATAGATGAAATTTGCCAAGGACTGGTCACAGCCATCCTCTGTATCACAAAATCCTGCAGGCTCCTAGCTTAGGTCTCAAATTCCAATTGAAACTCTCATTTGTTGAACTGGACTCAATGAATACACAACTGTCCCTAGAAGTAGCACACAGCACCACACCCTTTATTTGGGGATTCCTTGTAAATGAGGTTCTCGGGTGTTTTCCAGAAAGTAAGTTCAAGTGGAGGTGAGAAAGGGGAAGTGGAGAAAACTCGAACCTCAGAAGTCACACTTTCTAACTTCATCATTTTGCATAAGGCTGGCCCTATCTTTATTTTTAAACTGTGCTTATGAGGTTTATTTTAGAAATGCTTTTGTGCTATCATAAAACTGTGGGGAGAAAGGCATTAAATTTTACATTTAAAACCTGAGAAGCACAATTTCAACTTTTATCTTAGAGGAGGAAAACATTCATCTAAGGCTCACTGCTGGATTATGAACTTGCTCAAAGGGTCTGTTAATATAGTTCAGGATAATGGGGAATAAACAAATAATCATTTAAAGTTACTACTTGTTTTATGCACTTTTTTCTTTTCTTTTCTTTTCTTTTTCTATAAATGTATCTGAATTCAACTTATTCAGTTAATTCACAGCCTATTCCCTAAATCATTAAGGCCAAATTGAAAGGTCCAAAAAACTACAAAACAACTGTAGGAAACTACACATTCGTTCACAATGAAAAGCAAAAAGTAAGCCCTAGAGTAAGAGTTCTCAAGTCTGAGGATACTGTTAGTAGTGATGCCGTTTGTTAACCCCTAAAACTATACGACAAACTGCGCATGTATGTATTGGGGGTGGGGAGAAGGTGGTTTGGGCAAAGTTTATCCAAGATCTTCATCAGCTTTCCAAAGATTCCAAGAGAAATCCCACAGGAAACATCCTCAGTAGGGATCTCCTAGTGGCCAGAGAGCTTTCAAGTGTCTCTGTAATTAAAGATGGAGCACTGTACGGTTCAAGGGGGAAAGTTCAAGGCCTGCATTCTAGGGTTCCATTGCCACTACCCAGCTTTCTCACCTTAAATTCTTTAAACATTCTATCCCTCAGTTTGCACATCTGTAAAATGAAGGTGTTGGAAGGAGAATGATCACTTCACTTCAAAATGCTTAAAAATACCTAGATGGTGAGGTACAGCTTCAGCAACCACAGGAAAAGATGTCAAAAAGGCTTGCACAGAATCCTGCCTGTTCCCAGAAGAACTGCTGAAGATATTCACCAGTGATTTCCTTGGAGAGGTCAAAGACAGAAGCCATTTCCTTCTCTTTCTCTTTCTTCTACTCCAGAAAGCCAAATTTGAGTTTCTCAATAATGCCCTTTCAAGGGATTTGAACTATGAAGTTCATGTAGTAATTCTGTAAGGGTGCACATGAAGCTCAAAGGATATAAAATAGAATTTCTCTAAAGCCTCATTACAAATCATGTAATCACTGCAGCAACTTATTTAAGCTGGTGTCATCTACATCTGTTAATATATGTAACTGATGAAAATTAATTATGGGTGTCAAAAAAATGGATGTCTTAATATAATCCTGGAAGTCTGGGTCAAAAATATTGCTCTGTTACAAAAGAAAAGTATTTTCCTTCACTCCATATTGTTCTTCCACACCTTTAAGTAATAAATGTCTGATTTTCACAAAAGTACATGTGAGATGGAAGTTCTCAACCACTTGGCACCAAAACTTTATTGTCACATAAGGCTAAATTTCACTAAAAGCAACTTTATTTTTTAGCTGATACACTTGTATATATTCTATAGTATTCTGACTTGACCATGATACCATAAATTTTCATTCTAATTATCAGACCTCATAAGTCAAGGCAAACGTACATGTGGGGGCTTATGGCAGCAAATTAAACTGAAGCCTTTTCATAGGCACTTGCTAATAAAGGAACAAGAAGATGAAAATTGATCGTGTTTTTATAAGCCATTAATAAACGAATGCTCAGTGCACCCCTCAAGCAGTCTAAAACCCATTCACAAAAGGATAAACTAATGTTCAAGGTAATGAGTTAAAAGTCAGTATGAGAAGTGAAAGCTAGACAGATGACACCCAGAGACTTAACTTCAGAATCACCTCGTCTAAAGCCCTGAAGAGATTAGCATTTGATTTGGGGAGTTCTGCATCTCACATATGCAAGAGTGACTTACAGAAAACATCAATATAAATAGCAAAGTAGTTGCTCTTGGAGCAGACACCACGTGTTGCTTGCTATGCATGAGCATTCTGAGCACATTTCAGGGCTCATTCTTCATATTCATGTGTTCCAAAGTCAACAGTAAAAGGCAGTCATGTTTGCAAGCACCATTTCTCAAAGATAAAGAGTTCTGATAACCCGATGAGAAGAATGAATTAAAACTCAAGGTAGACAAGGCTACTGAATATAATGTTCTGCAGCACCATCCTGTCCTATAAAACAAGGCTGGAGCAGGAAAACATGCAAAAGGGGAACATGCAGAAAATCCAAAAGTGACTCTGCTAAATTAAAGAAAGAAATCCCTGCTCGGCAGAAAGAGCAAACTTGCTTTCTAAATACCGCTTTTCAGATGAGACCCAATCCTGAGGGCCTGACCCCTTGTGGTCTTTAAGGAAAAACCAAAACAAAGGTGTGGATGTAAGATTTCTTGGCCCCATCAAAAAGAGGTCAAAAATGAGTTAAATTTAATTGGCAAAATGAAAGTTTCTAGGAAACTTCTTTCATTGCCAATCCCTAGAAAAAGCTCCAGCAGAGGATGCAGAGATTTGATATTTATTTGTAAATAAGAGGGCAAAGAAGATATGATTATTTTTATTGGATATAGGGTTTTTCCAAAATAAATATTTAATTCAAGTTTCCTAGGTGAGATCTCAGCTCCAGCTCCTTTAGAAGAATGAAGACCACCATGATCCTTCTACAACATTCTGTGAGACTGCTTTAGAAGACACCGAAAGGTAAGGCTTCATCTTGAGTTACTCCACCATAACCCAGACAAAGAAATTCCTGAATGGCTAAAAGCATTTTTTTCTTACAAGCACCCACAAGAATAAGGTCAATCTAAATGTCATATAAACAAAGCAGTTCATTACTAACCATAATTTGTTTCCTTTTGTGAGAAAAATTTAATCCACTGTAACTGCACCCAACATTCACATATAAGTGCCCCTTGAAGAAGGGCTGAAGTACAGATTCATAATTGACCCTCGCCTTGGGCTTTTCTTATGCTCGAAAAGCAAAAGGAATTGGAGGTTGAGAAATCCAAGTGGGGTTGATACTTTCTACTTCACTGTCTACGATCAAGTATGGGAGGCTTTAATTTTCCATCCAATCACTCCGACAGAGGCTGGGGTGTTTGAGGAAATCCACAGACAACAATCAAACCTTTCACTTCAATGCTGCTTTCCCACCAGACCCCTCCCTGTTTCAATCGGGTTTGTGAAGTGTTTCCCCTATTCTACATTTCCTGAATCAACTGCAGAATCTGCCAGCCTCAGCCAGTTCCTCTGGTACTCAGCTGAGAGGCACCCCTTCCTTCCCTGAGTAGCACAAGGCTGCTCTGGTTTTCAACTGGCCTAACGTGGAAATGCACTGTAGACGCTCACTAACTCTTTCACAGCCAGAAACACAGAGGCGAGGGTCTGGGGCTGCCACCTCGTCGACTAGAAAACTGACCCACCAAGCACAGGTTAAAGCAGATTTGTGGAAACTAGTTTTGGCCCTAAATCCAGTGTGCCAGTGACTGTCATTGGGAAGGAAAAGGAGGAGTGAGAACTACAAAGTCTCCAACTCAGTTACTTAGCAACTGGATAAAACTTGCCTCACTACAGAGGGTAAGGAGGCATCTCCCGCCCATTCAGAGTAACAGTCTCCATTTACATGCAAATAGATAAAGACAAAAGGGAAAGGGAAATCTAAATTAGCAACTGGAGTTTACAGCAGTGGGGCTGAGGAAGCTTTTAAAAATAGTTTCTCCTAAGAAGGAGACAGAATATATACAAAGAAATAAATAAACATGAATGAATGAATGAATGAATGAATGAATGCAAGATCACAGGCCCCGACCAACTTAGTCACCCCTAGTAAAAGTCAATGCCATGGTGGATAGAGAGAAGACGCACACAGAAAGTTTAGTCGGTAAAATTAAAACAATTCCACTGCTAACACAAACTGAAGGCTTACAGAAAGATGACAATTGGAGGCTGGGAAAATTCCAGGGAAAGCCGTTCCGCCTGCTCGTGAGAAAAGCAAATAAACCATCAATCTTGAGAGCAGAACTCTAGACTGTGGGTAGATTCAAAGACTCTTGGGGTCCCAAGCCCCACTCAAACACCTGCACCCGATCATGAAAAAGTTTCCAAACTTGGATCAAACCCACAACCTTCCCAGGAGACACATGGCCCTGAGGGTTTTCCAAGCAAGAGGGAGACACTGCTGCCCACTTGGCCCAGTAAAGTGCACCAGGCTTTTCTGTTTGCCCAGGGAGCTCAAACTCTCGGGTGCTCAGCTACGAGCCATGCACCTGAACCAGGCTGCTCATTCCCAGGCTCAGCGCAGGAAGGAAGAGGCCAGAGGGCTCCTCTTGCTGGCCTCCATCCCCGAACCTCACACCTGGGCAAGGCGGGCAGGGCCCAGGAATGAGGGTAGACGCCAGCAGCCAAGCCACTTACTTCTCGTACTCGGTGTTGTCTCTGTCACAGCGAGAATCCTTGTGCTTTTGCCAGTCTTTGCCATGCTTGCAGGTGGTGAGGAGCACGACGTCCTCCCCGTTGTGGACATGATATAAGGCATTCCTGGTGTCTGACCCTATCCCTGTCAGGTACCTCTTCCCCTTGAATACCAACATGTACTTCCTGAGAGGAGGAATGGTGTTAAACTTCAAAAACCCCCTCTCCCCTCCTGTCCTGGGGTGATCCTTAGAAAAGAGGGGAATAGAAACATCAAAGTTGGGTCGGAAGTTTTCAGTACTGATGCTGGCTTTGGCCAGCATCGCCTGGCCGATGTCAAACCCCACGTCCTCGGTGTAGTCAGGCCAAGTGCCAGAATATAAATTAAAAATTAAATGATTTCTACCATTGTTCCACAAGTGGAGACTCTGCACTTTGGATCTCAAATTGTGCACATACTGAGGTGACAACTGGTCTCTGTCTAAAGTATCCAGACTCAGGACAAAGAGGCACGCCTGGCTGGGGTCCGAGGTGTAGAACCTGGAGCCTTCGATGGCCGCTAGAATGTTTTGGTAACTTTCGGCGATTTTCTCTCCTTTTTGCTGCGGGTATACGTAGACTTTGAAGCCGTTTTTCTTGCAAAGGGTGAAATCGAAGCAGGACTCCATGCGGCACTTCTTGCCTTTGTAGATGCTCGAATTGGCGTCTCGCTTCTGCCGGGGGGAAATGTGCACGTTGGAATCCTCGTTTTCCAATTGATCCCAAGGAACGAAGGGGCGCAAAGCGTCCGGGAAGCGGGGCCAGAAATGATCCGGACTCGGGTGGTGCAAGCCATTCCGACCGCTGTGCTCTTCTCTCCGGCTGTGGCTCCTCGATGCCCTAAACTGCAAGCCTCCGAAATAAAACAGAAGGGCGAGACAAGAGCCAGCTGAGAGCAGGATGAAATAGCGTTTTTTGGCCTGCATGTGTCCTGCCTGGGTCAAGAGGATTGTAAATAAACACAAGAATCACCCAAGTTTCCCAATCAACACTTTCAGCTCCAGTCCGCCATCTTCCCGCCTGTAAAGACTTCAAACTCTCCGCTCCCACCTTCTCTGGATGCCTTTCCCCAAGCCGTGGACTGATCCAGCGCATGTGGGCGATTTCTTTAACTTTCTCCCCTTCGGTCTTTCATCTTTGGGTTGCACAATGGACGGGAGAGAGCGGGGCTGAATATCTTGCACCCAGGGCGGGCGAGCAGCGGACTGTAATTTCCTCGCATGCAACAAGACGGAGGAAAAGAAAGAGGGGGGAAAAAAGCTCCCGATACCCAATCAATGGCAAGACGAAGTGATTTCCTTGCCTCTCGGATTCCTCCCGGCAGCGTGGAAAACGAGCCCCGGGAAAGCAACTTCAACTCATCCACTCTCCCGTGCAGACCACTCCGGTTCCAACAAGTCAGCCGATGCCCGGGTTCAGCCGGCTAGTGCATCTTGCAGCCGGGGCGCCGTAACCTCACAAATCCCTGCATCTCTCTTTATCCCCTTCTGCAGCGGCTCCAATACTCCGGCGGTGTTTACTCCTGCGCTCGAGGGGCCGGCCCCCGGGACGCGCGGCGGCCCGGCTGGAAGCGGCGGCGGCGGCGCTGGGTGACGGCGGCGGCGCGTCCTCCCCGCGGGCAGTCCCGGCCCCGAGCGGCGCTTCGCAGGCCCCAGCGCGATCGCTGCCGACCGCCGCGTTCGGTCGCCGAATGTTACCCGGTTCTGAATGTTACACTTACACATTCCATTCCCGACACGACAGCGCTGACCTCATCCATCCACGCAGCCCGCGCTGCCATTGGCCGAGCGTCACGTCCGGGGGGGGCGGTGCTTCCGCTGCGCCCATTCATAAGCCCCGACCGCTGGCCGCGGCGCTGGGGGCGCGGGGAGCGCGAGCTGCCCGAAGACCCCGGGGCGCTTGGGCCTCGGCTGGAGAGACTCTGGGCGTCAGGGTCCGAGCCCCACGGCACCTCAGCACACTCCAGCCCGGGCCCCGGCCTGGGCCGCACCGCCTCCTGCCGCCGCCCCGGGAACCAGCGCCGCCGAGAGGCGCCCGCGGGCGGGCGGAGACCGGGAGCAAGTGACTGGCCGGCGCTCCCCGGGCCCCGCTGTGCAGGCTGCCCCCGGCGCCCTAGAGAATCCCGTCTCCTCGGGTGCCTGCCGGGAACGCCTCCCCAGCACACCGCGGGGAGTGTGCGGGTTCCTGGCGAAGAATGCTCAAAAATGGAGCAGTGGGGCGAGCCCGAGGGATGGGGGAGGAAGGAAAGACTTCATAAGAAGCGGACCCTGAGGATGCCTCTCCCCGTACACCTTCCACCCTCCGAGGCCCAATATTTTTATTTCCTACCAGGCATTTAAACAACTCCCTATTACCCCAAGAATAATTCCCAAGAATAAAGAGAAGATACTACAATCAAGAGAGATTGTTACAATTTTTTCACGTCTGTCTCTGCGCTGAGGGAATACCCCTAATCCTAAATCCTCATTATCTAGGTGTGCACCCTTTCCTCCTTCCTGAAGCCCCTTTGTTTATTCTGTAGAAGCTTCCAAAGCTCCAATCACAGCGGGGGCTGGGGGGAAGGGAGATACTTTCTAATGGCTGAGGAGAAACCGGTTAATTTAAGGTTGTCCCAGTCCCTAAAGTGATGTTAACTCTTTTTGGTGGTGGGTTGGTGGTTTTTAAGGAAAAGTCTCTTAGGAATAGATGACTAGTCGAACTGCCAATTGTCCCAGCTGTACAAGAGAAAGTGGAGGCAGGAAATGACCTTATTTACAATTTGTGCAAGATGGTTGGACTTCCCTACAGCTGCCTCCCAGCCCCAGGCTCCTGCTAACCCCAGGGACGGTCACTGGACAACTCCTAAAGATCCTCCAGGACCACAAAGATGTGCTAGCTCTCAAACAGAATTTCTGGTCAAAGCCAAGCTCCCTGGCCTCAGAGCCTGAATTCCGCTTTACAGAGAACACCTCCCACCCTGTTCCCTAGCTGAAGTCCACAGGGCCTGGCCAAGTTGGACAAATAGTTGCCTAGGGCAGCATGCTGTTTAGTGATTGTTTATTGTGGGAGTGACTGAGAACGAGGGACAGACACTTCCTGGCTTCCCTCAGGCTGCAAAAATCTCCAGAGGGGTGTGGATGAAGTGCTTGATTATAACAAGGCAGGGTGAAATGATCAAGTGGAAAATTCTAGGCATTTGTTGTTTCAGATTTGTTTTAATAAAGGGGGCAGGGGGCATGGGTGGGACATTACTATGCATTCCTGAAGCCTCTCCCTATTTCTGACTTGCCAAAGATGAGGTAGCTTTTCCAGATTTGACTTCGACCCCCTGCACAATTTGGACAGGCCTGGGACAGAAATGAGGTTTCAATCATCTTCCCCATACAGTGACAATGATGCAGATAAATGCCGTGACAGAGACCACAGTGAACCAGCTCGCTGCCATCCAAGGCAGGGATCCTTCTATTGAGATTAGGGTGCAGATTAGCTCGGCCCTATGGGAAATTGGGGCTGTGGGGCTCGCAGCCCCTCCCTATAGTACCAGTTGCCCTATGTGACCTTAGGCGGAACCAACTACTGTTCCTACTTTTTTGTCTTCCTGATTTGGCACATGTTCCTTACCTTGCCTAACCCTTGCTGATTCCCTCATCCCATGCCCCAGGGCTACCAAGCTCCACTGTCACATTCCATAGTGGTATATGTTGTGAGAAAACCACTGGTACTCAAGGTTTTGAGAAATCTAGAATTCAGAACTCAGATCTGTCATTTACTAGGGTCTTGGGCATGCAGCTTAATCTCAGTGAACCTCAGTTCCTCATTTAAAAAGTTAGAATCATAATACTTGCCAGTCTCCGAATTTGTAAACCATAAATTGTGCTGCATGTGTACCATTTTTTTTGCCTAAGTTGAAAACCCATCTGGAATCTAAAGTAGTCCCTTCCATGACATCACCATTGCATCTCCCTCAACTTTATTTTCTCCCTGCCCCTTCTCATTAGCTGAAATCTTTTATTTGTTTGCTCATTTACTTTCTGTATTGCTTCACTTCCAGAGAGCAGGAGCCCTGTCTTACTCAGTTTCCAGTATTTAGGCAGAGCACAATCACTAAGCTGAATGATAAATGACTCAAATTCAACTTCACCACAGCACTTGAACATGCTTGAAAAGAAAGACCCCAATGGTAGGACTGAATCTCTTGTTTGAGGTACAAAAATTACTAACCAGGAATATCTTAACAAAGGGTAAATCAGTCCATCATAAAGCCTTTAACAACATATGTCAGATCATGGAATTCCTTAGTCAAAGCTCTCAGCAATCCCTGTCCTCAGCAATAGAACCAAAGCTCTTACAATGACCTATAAGATCCCACAGGATCCTCCCTAACTGCTCCTCACTTCTGGCCAAATGCCTCTCAACTTCATTTCCTGGCAAGACCCAAACTCTGTCCCTCCATCCCAATCTACTTACTTCTCCAACCAGGGTGGTTTGCCTGATGTTTCTCATGCATGCCAATCATGGGCCCTGCCCCAGGGCCTTTACACATGCTCATGTCGGCCAGTGTGCCCCAGTATCCACATGACATACTTCCTTACTTGCTTTAAGTCTCTTCTCAAAAGCCACTTCATTACTACTGAGGCCACCTTTGACCTCTCTAAATAAAATAGGAACCCCTCCACCATTTTCCTATACCCTTACCCTGCTTTATTATTTTTTCCCTAACAGTAATCAACATCTGACATACTATATATTGGCTTGTACATTTATCATTTATCTGTTACATCTAGAATGTGAGCTCCCACAAAGCAAGAATGTGGTCTTTTTGTTCACTTCTACATCCCCAGAACCCACAAGAGCGCCCGTCCCTAAATAAGTATTTGTTGAACTAGTTGATTAATTTGATGGCATTGTTTGTAGGGCATGCAGAGAATATCAAGACTAGAGTTCTTTTATAACACACACACACACATGTCCACACAAAGCTAAAGCTATCCCAGTGATTCAAGCCTTGCTTAATATCCCTTTCCAGGAGTCCTTCATTCCAGAGCTGAAAACAGCGTGGCACACATGAAACACAGAAGATAAGAATTCCCAACCAGGCTCAGCCACTTACTCTGTAACCTTGAGTGAGTCTACCTCCCTAAGCTTTAAATTCTCACTGGTAAAATCAGGAATAACTGTAATATATACTGTGCTCAGCTCACTGGTTACTGTGAGACTCAAATGAGAATAAATGGGTAATAAATGAGAAAGCCCTTTGCAGTCCACAATGCACATGGCAAATATGCATTTTAAGCATCACATTCTTGGACAAATATGAAGATAAGTGCATGAGATCATGTTTGCAAGTCAACAGCATTAAATAGATGAAATATCCCCCACCAAACAACGGTTTCCAGATGTTTTACAGACTCTGGAATGGTCATTTACTATTGTAAGCAAACAGGAAAAGGGAAGAAGGAAAACTCACCAATTGACAAAAAGCAAAGAAAACTTTTTTAAATGTATGAAGCACCAAAGGTACAAACACTTTTCAAAGATCCATGATTATATTATGCTATAAGAAAAAATAATCAACTCCAAAATGTGAAAACAAACTAAAATACTGAAAAGAATAAATGCTAATGTATCTAAAATGGAACTTCAGGTTGACTGGCATGGCAATCCAGTCTTCATAAAGTTACACACAGCTTTTATTTGATGCACTCAGGCCTATGTGATGTGTGATGGCATCTCTGACAGTAAGCATTCCTGGCTCCTGGAAAGGTAGAAAACTCTGCTGGGCATATGCTGACTGGTTCCAGGAGGTGGGAAAGACAAGCAGGCCAAGGAAAGTTGGGGCATCATGGAGAAGTGGAGAGATTCCCAGACAGGAAACAGGAGACTAGTTTCTAGGTCCTTCTCTGCTAGGAACTCAAGGGACCTGGAGCAGGTTGTTTCTGAATGTCAGGCCTTGAGGGTTTCATGTGAAAAATGCAGGATAGGACTTAATGATACCTTTCCACCCACAACAGTCAATGCCCAGTGTAGAACAATGGGGTAAAAGAGAAGAAGAGCTGGGGAGGGAGGAATTGGAAACTACATTGAGAAGGGAGGGAAAATTGGAGTAGAAGTGAGAGGCTCTTTCAGGCCTCTACTGGCAGGGCAGCCAAGCAGGAAAACTGCCCAAGGGCAAGTCTACCATGGCTGTGTCAAATCACAAGCCAGGCGCTGACCATTCATTGTCTCTGAGATCCGCACAAGGTTCCTAAGACACAAGTATTATCCTTATCTCTCAGCATAAATGAGGAACTGGAGATTCAACCCTGGCAAGGGGCTCCCAGCAATTCAGTCTCTCATTTCTTAAGCAAACATTTTTTGAGCCGCTACTCTATACAAAGCATGGGGCCATAGAGGGGATTTGTCATTTATTTGAGGTAGTGTCATTGATTTGAGGGTATTTGTTTTTGTCATTTATAAAACACTTTCATAAGAAGAATTTTGCATCAGTGCCATCAGAACCCTGTGAATAGGGGAGAGAATATTCCTCCTATTTTACTAATGAGAAAGTAAAGCTCTAAGTAAGACTCTATTTCCAGCTTGCTAAGCCTGGGCACTGTTGACATTTTGCTCTGTGTAATTCTTTGTCACAGGGGGCTGGCCTGTGTATTGTCAC